CCCAGAAACCAGGATCTTCTCGGTGCGAGGTGAAAATACTGAACCTTTGTATCTATAAGTTGATGCTAAAGCTTTAGGCCTAATTATCTGAGCTGAAAACATTCATACTATGTCTCACTCACCTTACTCTATATATTATATATACAGTATATGTGTATCTAGTTCACAGTGAGGGGAACTATAGTGGAGGAGCTGGTGTGCACAATATCAGCTGCTCTGCTATCTCTAATGTGAACTCAATTTGACAGATTAGAGATAACATTTTAAATTGAGATAATAAAAATAAATCAAGTTGACCTTAGATACATGGACCAAGGAGAGGCCAACTCTGCTCCATATAATTCAGTTTGATGGTCTGTCAGCATAAATTCTAACATCTACTGTGTACAAGTGTCATTTGGGGGGGGGGTTAACACAATGCTCAATGCCTGGTGTTCAGCTGTAAAAGAGAAGTGCAGATAGCAAACATGATGTTTATTCGTTTAAACAAACAGCCTGAAGTGCAGTTGACTTTATTGGGGTAAATAACTTGCAGGGGAGGCAGCTTTATATGGAATTAATTGCAAACAAGTTGCCTGCTAATGGCCCGAAAAGGCCTTAATGGAAGTGTTCCATTAATACAACCAGTGCTGATGCCATCAGACAAATTTCCACTAAGTGTTGCCTCATGAAAATGATAACCTGCTAATCTATTATTAATAAGAATTAATGGTTTTCCCTCTGCCGCGTGTGTATCGATCCCTGATACTCTACACCGCAGAGTAATTCTCACCGGGCCCTGTGGCAGGCTTGGGAATACACTAATTGTTAGCCACACAAGTGCCATTTACGCAACTCTCCCTGCTGTCTCTGCATTTATTACAAGCTCTGAGGCCCCTGACAAGGATGAAAGAGAAAACCGTAAAGCTGCTCAGGAAGTATAGCAAACAGTTACGCTGCTCAGAACAGCAAAACACTGTCTTCAAAAAATATTTGAGTAAACCACTTTCCATTTTATCCAGTCTCTTAAACGCTCTGTTCTTGTGCTGAAATATGACCCTCATGAGTTTAGTCATCCGACCCAATTTCTTGTGCTGTCCTTGAGAAAGTTGTCTGCGGTACATTTACAGGTGTACCTGATTACCCTTCCCCAAAACCTTCAGATCTGTCTAGTGAGAATTAAAACACCTGTAGCAGTACGGGAACCCCCCCCCTACCTTTTTATCTCTCTAACGACCTCAGACCTCAGAAATACTGCTGCAGGTATTAGATTTACTGAGAGGAGCTGTTTAATCCCCCTACACAGAGCAATCAGCAGCCTCGGTACTGTCTAAAGCTGATATCTATGCAGATATTCACAATAGCCTGCCCTCACATTTACATTTCAAGTCAATCGAACACAGATATGCATGCATGTGATTATAAGAGAGAATACACCTGCTTTGTGTACACGCTACAGCATAATTGCTAAATGTGACAACTAACAGCTAGGGCTAGACTAAACTAGCACTTTGTATGACACTTTTGAATATTAGGCGTTAAAAGGGTTTGCATTAATTTCCCTAATAACCCTATGAGTTGTTTGATAATCATGACTTGTGTGTGTGGTAGCATACAAGAAACAACTTATTAGTCCCACAAAATAAGGCTTTCGCTTGTGTGGCCTGTTTTTCGCTTTGATTAACTTACTCCATTCATTAGTTGTAACATGAAAGCCTTTTTGCTCTACTAACAACTTTTTTTTTCACCACCACCACTACCAGGCATGCTGCTGTTGTGTACAGCATCATGTTTTGCATGTGGATCACTTTTTGATCTTTCTGATGCATTAATTTGGTAATTATAACCCCAACATTGAATGATTGACTTGTAATCCAGCTATGCTTATCTGCTTTGATTTTTATAACCCAGCTGAGGTGTTTACACAATAGCCTCAGTAATTAGAGCAGCGCATTCATCTTGTTAGCGCGAAAAAAAACAGAATGTGGTAAATTCGAGTCGATGACCTCAACCCTGAAATTGTGGCACCTTGCAACCAACACCGGGCCTGACAGGTGTGGCAGCACTTCCTACACATGCCAGCGAGGAGAGTGCACGCGTTAAAGCCTCGAGTGTCAACATCGGAGTTTTCAATGTGATGTATCAAAGCTGAGAAAAAGTGCAGCTCAAAGCTCGCAGTCACTGGCTGAGAGAAGGATTTGCATAGGTAGGTGTACGTGTTTTCCACCTCGTCCCTGCCATTGTGCTCATGTGACAAGTGCCTGACAGCCAGGAAAATGGGACACAGGCAGAAAAAAAAAAGGGTTGAGTCTGGATTTTGTCTCTCTAAGAAAAGAACTGACAAACCCAGCAGTTTGATATCATCACCCGCCAGTCATGGCAGAGTGATGGAGGAACTGTGCTCAGTCCAGAAATATATGCTTCTGCCCTTTCGAGTGTATTAGGGCAACTATTAACCTGCGATCGAATGCTCGGTGAGATCTGGATTAACGATGGACAGCTTCGAATGTTCCCCTTTTAGTCAAAGGTTAACTATCTACTACGTTTTTAAGAAGCTTAATACAGGAAAAGCTCAGCCAGGGCCAGTTTCCCCTTTTCTTCCACTTATCCTAAAAAATCCCTGTGATTTCTAAGGTCCAGTGGTTCCTTCACTTACATGTTTTTGGCATATACATGAGCTTACATCCTTTCATTTTGAGGCATTTGTCGAGAACTGTTTAATGCGGCCTGATCCTCCGTCTCAGCAACAGCGTGGAAAGCCCTCACAACTTAAACGGGGCCGCTATGGACAGATGTTAGCAGGAACTTTTGGAAGTCAGAACGCTGATAATCAGGTCTCGAGGATTCCAACTCGCCACCCGAGCACACACAGATGCATGCGCGGGCATACACTCTTATCAGGTTAGAATCATTAGCACGGCTCTCCTGCTGCTGCCTGCGTGTGTCACGGTCACATTCTGACGCTACCGAAAACGATTTAGTGCTGCGCGGTGGCGGTCCTCCCTGGGAGGACGAAAATACCATTCAAATGTCAGGTGGGTTTAGGTACTATGAAGGGGTCAAAGGTCACAGATGGATGTATGCTTGTGTCGGATTACGGTGTATCGCCAAGCACGCATAACTGCCTACTCACACACTACTCACACTGCACTACAGCACACTTCAGCCTGTCAGTGTTCTGTAAAATGCTGTGGATTTGATTGTGTTTTTGTCCTTGTTGGCTTATCGTCATTGTTCTTTTTTAAGCAAAGAACCATGTTATCTTTCATCTCTTTTGCTAACGTGACAGGTATTTGACAGTGACTTGCTCCCAAAAAAAAAAACAGGTCATAAAATGTATTATTTCAAGAGTAAACAACATCAGATTGATTCCTACAATATTCCTTTTAAAGCGGTGAGGAGACGGTATCTTCTCCCATGTGAAGTGTATAGAGCAGTATTAAGGTATTGACTTATGTTTGACTGATATATATATATATATATATATATATATATACGTATGTTTACTGGTGCAACTGCACTGTTATCTGTAAGGCCAACTGAAATCCTTTGTGACACCCAACCTTGTCAGATTGTACAAATATTGAGACAGCTGCTGGTACCTCCACCCATCTGCATTTGAATGTGTAAAATCATCCCACATTAACGTGTTACGTGTGCACGCGCACTTCTCTGCCTGCATGCTTTCGGTTCAGTTTATATTTTATTGTGCGTTGAAGAAAGCTCTTAAACAACGGCAGATGCCACCACCTCTCTCTCTCTCTCTCTCTCTCTCTCTCTCTCTCTCTCTCTCTCTCACCCTCTCACCAAGCGAGGGCAGAGGTAGACCAGGTGGACCTGGAGAGCATGCTCACTGAAGTCCTTATCCATATCAGAAAGATTCAAGGTACAATGTTATGTCCCCCTCCCCGCCACCTCCCCGTCTCCCACCAAAGTTATATTAGAACACATAAAACAGAAAGCAATGGTGGCAGCTACTGCTGGATTTTCCCCAGCGTGTCCTCGGAGGGAGAAGGCTGGCGTCTCCTCTGTGTATACAGCGTAATGATTCACCCTATTGTGCGCGTCTCCGCGGGGCCGTCTGCTCGTCACCACGGCGGTTTAGGTGTTCCCCCACCTCCCTCTTTAATGACTCTGGAGATGAAACACGAGCTGACGGAGCTGGTAATGAGGACATTGTGTCAGGCACGTCTGAGGCCGTAAATAAAGCATAGAGCGCGGCGGCTATAGCGTGGAGCTACGGTAGAATCATGTCAACTTAGACAGGCTGTCGCTGACACACACGTACACACACGTACACACTCCATTGTACTGCGCACAATGATGTTGGGTGTGGCGCTTGGTAAAAACACCCTGAAGGCAAACAGGGGAAGTCAATAGGTGTTCACCAAGGTAGTCCGTTGTGTTGTTGTAAACACAGTTTATGTAGGAAGTCACACTGAGGTTTCAGAATCACAACATATAGTAGCCTTGTTTAGATTTTAGGACATGCAACCAGTTTTAATGCCTCATAAAACAAAGATAGTTTGAATGCTAAAAAAACTGATAAACTCCCACAGTGTCTAATTTACCCGCATCTTGCTCTTCTTTCTGTCATTTTCTTTTGTTGAAGAGTAGGAGTCAGTCTGCTTATCTTGTTTTATCCTTTAATGCAGTCCCTCATGTTCAAGAGTTAGAACCGCAACTTCATTGTTTTCGCTTGACAAACTTTGCGGTTTCAAATGGCGTGTCAAAGCAGAGGCGAGGAATTGAACAGCATACAGTGACAGGCAGGCACACAAAGACTGGATGTTCCTCCCGTGACTGAGCTGCAGGTGTGCGAGGCAAACAGTGTGGGTTTTGTCGTTTTAGCCTTTGTGTGGAGAAAATGATACCCATAAATAACCAAGTTGCAGTAGGCACTAACATCACCTTCTTCTCTCCCCCTCCCTTCTGCTCTGCTCCTCCCCTGCCTCTCTCCCTCCCTCTTTTTTTTTATCACTTTCTGTCTCCCTCTACCCTCTTTGCTTCGGCTTCCTCAGGCGTGCCAAGTTTCGTCAAATCCCCAGAGGACCAGACGGGCATCTCGGGAGGAGTTGCGTCGTTTGTGTGCCTGGCCACCGGGGAGCCCAAACCCAGAATCACCTGGATGAAGAAAGGCAAGAAAGTCAGCTCCCAGCGCTTTGAGGTGAGCACTCACGCGTGACTCTCAGATCTGTGAACAGATCATACAACACCCACGTGTACACAACTACAACATAAATACACCTGGCACAAACACAACACACGTGATGTGAAATATTACAGGCGTGGGCTTCAGACTGCCTTTTCCAAACCTCTCTCATTAACACAGACACACCCACACACGCTTGCACACTCACAGCGTTTACACAGCGCACGCAATCAATTGCCCTATTATTGAGCATCACACCAACTCTTCTCTTCTGCAAGCGAGACCAGACAGGCCTCCCTTCTCTTTAATCTCCTTCCATCTTGATTTATACAGTCTTCTTCATCTCTTTCACACCCTCATCCTTCCCCCTCCTGTTTCTCAGCTCCACCGCTGCTAGCCATACACTCCCTTGATGTATTACTTGATGTATTTCCCCTCCTTCTTTTGAACCCATGCGAACAGAAGGAAGTGCCGTACGTGGGAACTCCCACTCTTTCGGACCAGTCTTTCCTCTGTAGCATAAGTAGTTGTTGGAGCCGGGGGTGCGATTATACTCCTGTTTGGTATTCCTTGATATGATGATATGCTGCTGTACACCACAGTGTTTTGGGATATCTTTTAATAATATCATTCTCTTTAAAGATCGAAGTGGTCTCTCTTTTGTATTTAAGAGGAAAGTTTGGCTTTTTTAGTGAGAACATATATGTTACATCTGAAAAAGTCTAAATTCTGCGCCACGACATGAAAATATGCTTTTAGAAACTGATAATGCTGCAGAAAACATTTATATATTGCAATAAAGTCCCTAAAAATACCATTACTGCCCTTTTGCTTTGCTGTGGCTCTCGTAGGTGATTGAGTTTGATGACGGCTCGGGCTCCGTACTGCGGATCCAGCCACTGCGCACACACAGAGACGAAGCCATTTACGAGTGCACAGCCACCAACATTGCTGGCGAGATCAACACCAGCGCCAAGCTTACAGTGCTTGAAGGTAAGATAAGTCTTTTTTTTTTCTCGCTTGGTTTCTTTCTCCATCTTACTTTTGCTGTTACTCTTTTCTCTCCCCCCTCCTCCCTTTGCTGCTGCTTCTGCTGCTTTTTAAAGCTTTCATTCCAATACATCCCAAAGCCAGTATGAGTGTTTAGCTTAATAATTCATACATAAACGTTTGCAAACGCTGAGGATTCCTGGTATTGGTGTCATGAGGGAGCAGATCTATCTTAATGTAATCTCCACATGGTCAGAGAAAAAATGCAAGGAATGCATTTTTAAATAAGATGGAATACAGTTAAGCAATTCAAAATGTGGGACCTGGAATCTAGTCACACCGTAAGAAATATTTACCATTTATTGGCTATAATACTATATTTAATTTGTCTCTTCATCTCAAGGAGTTAGTCAGTCCGAAAACAGCAAAGTAACCCCATAATTAATAAAACAATTATAAATTGCCTCATTAAAAGCCTTATAATGAAAAATCTAATATACGTGTACATGTCAGCGTTTCCCTGCTTATCCAGAGAACTTTAAGAAAAACGCTCTACATGAATATATAACGTTTTTTCGCTTGTCTACACTTAAAGAACTCCCCTCCATGCCTACAGGCTACTCTGACCTCCATGGACCTCTTTCCCCTCCTTGCCTATAGAGTTATGTATGCGATTTACGCACCGCTCCCTGCGCAGCCTTCCACATCACTGAGCTGTGAGCATGGATTTCCTCCTTAATTGATTGTAATTTTGCCATGTGGGTGCTAGTCACAGCAGGAGTTGATTTCATTAGAAACTTACAAGAAAAAAAGCTCCAGAGCTCGGCAGCTCGGCAGCCATTACACTGGCATTAAAGCAGACCCCCTCTCCTTCTAATGCGGCCTCTCCATCCCCCGTTTGAATCCCATCTTTCTTACACCCGCCCTTCCTTTTTCTTCTTCATCTGTCCACGCTGATTTGATGATATCATCGGCTTGCATAATCTTCCCGAAGGGACTTTTCTCCTGCGCAGAGAAAGCTCTTCTTTTGCACTGTATCGTGAGGAATGCTGCACAAACAAACTGCACTAACATCACATCAATGAAATGAGATCGTGACAGAGACGGCAACAGAGTCTTACTCAACGTTGAGCAACTGTTCTCACCAGCAGACGTGCTTTGCATGAAGTCATCTTCTCTCTCTGTGATCCCGTGCTGAGTGTTGTAGCTGCTCGACCCGGAGTCCAGTACGATTCAGACGCGTAGCTTATGATGCATGCTTTTATCTGTTGGGCTTTACTAGTGCATACATTTATAGCAGCATTAAAGCTGCATCAATCAATATTCTTTTTGATAATAATAAATCGAGGGACGGCATAAGAAAAGGTTTCCAGTGTTGATGATTCCGCTACCAGTCAACTCCTGAATTTGCACTTCTGTGCAGAGGTGAGCCACTGTGTAAGCTCATTGTTTTGGTCTGACAAACCAAAACAATGTAGGTTCATAAAAAAAAAGCTGTGGACAGCTGCTCTCAGCCCACAAGCTCAAGCAAGCCGGTTTCACGCTACGTGTTCCGAGTGAAGTGGCAGACAGCCAAAGTAAGCCAACGGCTTCTTGGTAGGTGAAGAGAGACGGATGTTTAATTTCAAACTCGGACTTTATTAGAACATTGCCAAGTTGTTTTGCATCTGCTGGAAGTAGCCTAAGGAATCTAATACAAAACATATGAGCTTATATATTATAATGGTTGTTGCTGTGATGTTGTTTCCACCTGTTGTCGTCCAAAAATATCTTCATACTGATTTTCTACTGTAAATAATTGGAATTTATGTAATGAGGTTGGACATATAGTTTACATTACAGTTGAATTATTGATGTATTAAAATACATCAAATTACAAATGGAGGAACATCTTTTGAATGTAATAAAGGAGTACACTCCTTAAATAAGTGGTTCTGCTTTTTGTTCCAACCTCTGAAGTAGTTCCTTGTTCTTCCAGAGGCTGGTAGAGAACAGAACCACACATCATATTTAATCAAAATAACCGCTCTGCTCCTCCAGCACCCCGAGGATGTGCTGGACAACTCTGAGCCTGTTCATACATGCACAGAAACCGCATCACCATACACACAGAATCATGAATATTCACTTACACAAGCACACACACACTTACGGAGCAATGCTGTCAGCTCGGCTCTATTTTTAGGCTATTGTTTGTAGCCGAGCGATACATCAAGTTCATATCAGCAGCAGTGCACAAGAAAACACTCGGGCAGCACCAAACAGACGGGGACTAATGATCCTCCTCCTTAATGGGGCGGTGGTGGCCTGGAGGTTGTAGCAGTCGGTGTCGCGTAAGAATGTCGCTGTTTGGAATCAATTGATTTAAAAAAATCTGGAGAAAGCGAAAAAAGAAACCAGCTGAGCTTTTTGTAAACTTTCAATGATTTCATTACAGTCATTGTGGTGCCCTTGAGCAAGGCACAGAAACAGTAAAGCTGCCCACTGACCAATAAGAGAAGAGTGTAGCTGTCCTGGGCAGAAAGCTCAAAGTTATGCGTTGCCTAAAAACATGTCAACCGTCCCTAAATAAAGGTTGAAAAAATGACTTCACAAGTATACACTTCCTGTTTTTGCATTCCAAAAGAAAAGCCGCACACTTCTCACATGTGACTTAAAGTACTACAGTGAGCACCCTCATCCGGAGAGGCAGTGAGAATGGTGAAGTCATTATACCACTAAGTCGATCTGGATTACAGGTATTAGCAGAGCAAAGGAAGGTCGAGCATTAATTATGATTCTTTCATATACTGGCTCTTTATTTTGTTATGCCAATCCTTCAAAATATGGATTATGACGGCCATGTCGGTGTAGCTTTACACGTGCTTTCACTTTGCTCATAGGTAGGCTGTATAATTAAAATACCACGGTTCAGAAGTGTATTATAACGTTTGGATCACTTGCTTGGGATATTTTTAGCCGAATACAATATTGTGTCAGTACTGCCAACTTCTCACTGAAGGTAACGCCAGCAGTCTTCAAGAATACCCTTCGAGGGATTTCGTTTTTGCATAGAAACACAAGTGTTGTGTCAAATTATTTTTCACTCACCATTTTAAGTTGACTTCACTGGCAGTTAATTCACTTTCTGAGTCAGTGACTGGGTCAAAGGCTGTCAAATAATGACAGAGATGAATGTTACCAGTTGTATAGTAATGAATATGCATGTCATCTGATTTTGGAGTTCTGTCCACTGTGGATGTTATGTCTGGAGTCTAACCAATGGCCCCGGCTGTATAGTTTAGCGTGCCACTCACCTGTTGGGAGTTGCAAAGGCATGTTTTCACACCAGAGCCGAAGTTAGGCTTTAGCACTTTTGCGGTCATGAGTCCCGAGTCACTCAGTAATTCTGTCACGCTGTAACAGCCCTGCTCTTTGTTCCTGGCGGTTCTCACGCCCCCGCCCGAGAGGTCACACCACTGAGACTTACACATGGGCGCAAAGTCAGCTCAGCCATCCTTCATTGTGTGTGTGTGTGTGTGAGAGAGACATATACATACAGCGGGAGGAACGGAGTTGTATTCTCTTATTGTTGTCACACTGTCGGAAGTCAAAATCGGAAGATCCTTGGCTGTAATCATCTTTTTCTCACTGTGATGTTTTGAATAATGGCCGACATGCAAAATTACTTTCCAAAAGTACCATCCTGCCTAGACTGCGTGTGCGTGAGAGAGAGCAAGTCAGTCAGTTATGTGCCGGTCCGACTTTGTATGGGTAAATAACAACGCTGAGACAAGGGGGGGAGGTGTGTTTGACAGTCTCTCATTCCCAAATTCTCATCCCCTCCTTCCTTTAGTTTCTGCCTTATTGTCTCTATAACTGTCTCTGTTCTCTCTCTGTATCTGTATAATATAGTGGACAGTGTGGCTTTGAAGCTGTGGGGTAGTATAAAGAGATGACCAGAGGGAACAATGACTCATTACTTGGGTAACGATGCCGAATGTTTTGACCTTGAGCGCCCCTCTTGAATGGAAGTGCCTCAGTGAATGTTCAGGTAAATGGTGCTTGTCTCGCTGATGTATGAAATAAACTACTGCGGGCCAGAGAAGACACCTCAGCTCTCAACATCAGCCTTAAATGCAGCGTGCTGCCACTTCTCCACGTCGAGGCAATCTTTCATATTTTCAGAGCTGTTAGCATTTGATGAGCATGTCAAATGTAAAATGCAATGACTCAGATCAGGAAATGACAAAGGTGGTGTCAAAACCATTCCTTGACATTAACGGTGATGATAAAACTGATGAGGCTCTGTGGGGCAATGAATAGAGGGACTGTTTTCAAAATTGGAACCTTTTTCCAAAACCAGAGCCAAATTCTTGAGCAAAATCCTTAAAGGGACATGTTTTAATCGGCTTCTATCAGCAACATGGGAATTGCAACATTGACAAGTCCTGGGAAAAGCCTGCAGCGACCGACTCGTAGCATATAAATAATAATGCATATTTTACAAATCAGCCGTATACTTGGTAAGGCCATTCAACACAAACATCCAACAGCAGGTCACATATCACAAAGACAAATCCTTGTAAAAACATTTCCGTTGATGGTGTGAGAATAAAATGGCTCGCATTTCTGTTTGCATTAGTTCTGTATTTCCAAAACAAAAAGCTTAAAGCCGGGAATCTTATCTCCAGCCAAAGTGGTTGCATTCATTTGTATTAATCAAATGTCATATCAAGCCGTGGGAAAGTGGAAGTCGTCACCCTTATCTGCTCGCCCTCTAATTTTCAATAGTTTCAGCAAAATTCCTCTCCAATAAAAAGTTAAAACCAGCATTAAAATGTCAAGCGGGTATCTGCGGAGCTGCATGCGAGTCGAGAACGTTCCTTAAGCGTGAGCAGACGCTCGGGTATATTCTTTTGATTTTTCTGCTGTGCTGGATTCTCTTGTCCTTTGGGAGACAGCGGGACCTGTCTGTGGGAAAGAAACGGTATCAGATCAAAAGTCCCATCATTACCGCAAAA